AGCACTCTCACTGGTTCTGAATAAGCAGTCTCCTCTTGGCTCTCCCTGGTCCAGGCTGGGGCCTCCTGCATCTGTTCTGCCCACACACAACACCTCCATGTTTCCTAGAAAGATGCTGACCAGGGGTGTGTGAGGAAGCTGGAGAAAACAAGTCATCTCCAGACTGGGTGACAGATTGCCCGGTGGAGGAGATACAATGGTAGCCTTGTTTAATTACCACTCCCCCATGCACATACCTAACCCTCACCCTGAGCAATGAGCCCAGGGCCTTTTCACTGAGCTACATCTCCATCCCTTTTTTAATTTCTGAGACAGGGTCCAACAAGTTGCTAAGTTGCCCAGGCTGGGTGCAGATATAGATCAGTGCAAGGGCCCTGGGTTCAAGTCCAAGGTGGGGGGACAGAGGCAGAGAGAGAGAGAGACAGGGAGGCAGGGAATCATGTGCACCTGGCAACATGTTTAGTGTTGCATGGAAAGTGAGGAGTGAGTAAAGAATGATCCCCGATTTCAGGATTTTCTCTGTCCCTGTCTCTTTTCCTGCATCTATAATCTCTCTCCCCAACTTCCTCGGCGTTATAGACGGATGGCACATAGTTAAGGAGGGAGCCTGGCAGAGGGTCCACAGATAAATGGTGTGGTGGATACCATTACAGATGGAATGTGTAGCTATACGCACATGCACACCACGAGGTAAAGGCAAAGAAACATTCCGATGGGAATGGAGGAGAGAAGGGGCTGAAACAGAACAAAAAGCTCAGAGAGAAGCGTACTGGGGCCCTTGCTTCAGTAGACACACAAGTGCGTGAACACGGGAGGACTCTGCTGCAGACGCAGCGTACTGGAAGATTACAGAGAGTGATCCCAGCACGCCCTTCTGACCTGGCTTTCGTTCCCCTCTATGGCCCAGTCTCACCAAGCTGTCCCCAGGGCCATGTGTCCATGCCATGAGCTCCGTGTTCCATGCCAGCCCTGGCTCTTCCTCTTTTCTCCTGGCACAGACTCTTCCTTCCAGCTGGAATCTCATCTTCTCCATCACCACTTCTGGAAAGCTTGCCTGCATTCAGGATGGAGCCAGACTCCCCTTTTCTCCAGGCCCTACACTCTCAAAATTGTCATTAATATGAATATAAAACCAGATGCCCAGTGTCTTTGGCCTTCCCTTTGATGCAGCTCCAAGAGGTGAGGAAATAAATCCATCTTGGTCATCAATACATTACCTGTGTCCTGGCACAATGTCCTGCCCTATGGAACTCAATAAATATTTTTGAGGGGATTGATAAAGCTGACCCTTAGGGTTTTCCCCCCTCCTCCTCTTCCTCCTCCTCCTCTCCTCCTTTCCCTTCCCTTAGTTTCTCTTTTTCTCACTGGTTCTGCACTCTTTCTTAGTCCTCCTGTGGCCAGGCAGGACCAGCGTCCTCTGCATGGAGGAAGCTTTCATTTGTCCTCCTCAGGGACATATGCAGGTATTGCAAATAATTTCTCAAAAAACACCTTTTGGCCCTTGTCTGAGAGGAGGGTGCTCCTCAGCTTTACCTGGAAACTCATTGGAAATGCAACCTAAGTCCCAGCTCTGCTGCAGAGGAGCCTAGGACTAGATGCACAGAAAAGAAGGCAGATCTTCACTATCTGCTGTGTCCTCTGAGAAGACGACAGAGGTGGAGTTAGGAATGCAGGGGGTTTATTGGAGGGCTATAAAAGGAAAACAAAAGGGAAAGGAAGTGGAACTCCAGGGAAAGCTTTCAGAACGCAGTGCTGATCTGACACTTGTGAATGGAAAGAGGGAAGAAGGGCTGGGCAGGGATCTGCTCACCGATGGTGAGTCTGCAGGAAGGGGAGGTAGGATCAGCTGAGGCTGTCAGCTAACTGCACCTTGCAGCTGAGAACCAGTTTCTCTCTTAAGGAAGGTCTCAGCAGTTTATCCCCATGGCTGCCACACATGACCTCTGGAGGTAACTTTGCAAGAGACCTGGCAGAGCTGGCACAAGCTCAGGAAGTAGATGGAAGGAAATACCATGTTAAGGGGGTCTGACATCAGTGCTCTTCTAGGACTGTTTATACTCTGTTCTCATTCTTCAGGGAACTGTCTTCCCAAGGGCTCCTGGAAGACAAGCTCCAGAGAGCTCTTTCCCGTGGAGAGCCATGGAGAGTGCATGTGAACTCATACCGTGCCCTTGCACTGCCAGGTTCCTACAGGTAAATAAGGTGCAGTGCTCGTGGGTCTCTGATCTCACCCTCCGGGAGCTCGGCAGGGGCAGATCTGGTCCTGAGGAGAATTCAGAACCACCAAAGGGTGAGGGCTGGGGTGGAGCTCAGAGAAGAGCACCTGCCCCTGGGTTCCATCCCTAGCATGCAAAAACAAAAACAAAACAAAACAAACAAAAACAAAAACAAAACAATGGAGGTAGGGGTGGAGAAGGGATGGGAGAGTGAGAAGCCCAGTGAGGGGTAGAAATCCCTGTGGTCAGCCAGTGATGCCTCTCCAGGCTGACTTTCACATCTGCGCCCCTGCTTCATTCATGCACATCTGAAAAACAGCCGACTACGTCACAGAGCCACACATGATGAAAACCTTTACCTGCACACCATTCCCAGAAACCCTATGTGCACACTCTGAGAGTGGCACCACACGGACTTCTCAAACGCTGATGTGAGCTCAGGCATCTACACACAGCGATTCTGGCAAACACTTGTGCATTCAGAGCTGAGCATCCCAGCCATCACAATGGGCAGGTCCCTCCATGGACATGAGGCCATGCCACCCACATATGCAAGTCCAAGTAATACACAAGGGCAAAAACAGACAATATAATCAGACTTCCAAAAATATGGCCACTTACAGTGATTTACAATCAAGAAACACCTGGAGCTGTGTCTGGGCCTACCAGACGTGCCTTGAAAGCTATTTCCCTTGTTATTGATGCCCTCTAAAACCCTGCCAGAGCAAGGCCAGCGCAGGGACAGACACTCTCCTTTCCTGGCCCACAAGAGCAGTACATGATCTCAGCCCCTACAGCAGGAGCCGGATGCTCCAGGCCTGCCGTGGTGTGCAGGAGCTAGCGCTTCCCCTACATGGAGACTGAGCATCTATGCAGCAGGGAGGAGTATGGAGAGAAGGGCATCCACCTGAGGGCTTGGTTCAAATCCTAGCTTTGGCCCTTTCTCCCTGTGTGATCTGAGGCAAATTAGTCAATCTTTCTGTGCCTTAGTTTGCTTTTTGTAAAATGGGGACAATAGCAGCAACTACAAAATAGGTTGCTATAGGAATATATGCACAGACACGAGGAAGCCCTGGGAATGGGCGGGTACACACTAGGAGCAAAGCAAATCACTCTCACAAACCCCTCTGCATCCGGACTCCACACACAAACCTCCCGCTGTTGCTCGCTCCGGAGGATCAACCCTCAGCAGGATTTTCAACCCCCTCAGTAGTGTTTGCAATGGAATTGGGTGGGCAGGGCTCAGGGCTGTGTGTCTGAGGGTTATGAGACCAGGCAGCAACTCCCCAGGGCCTTTGCTGGAGCTGCCCCTGCTGGGTCTGCCCAGGCTGGCTCTGAGGTCTGGGTTGGGTCAGGACAGGGCTTTTCCTAGATTAAGAGCAGGGGTTTGCTGCAGGGTTTCAGCCCTGTAGCTCTTGGAGGCTTTGTAGAAAGATGAGAAGAGGAGGCTTCTGTCTTTTTCTCCATCTCTCTCCAACTCTCTTTCCATACACATATATTTCTTTTATATAGAATTAATATATTTTTCTTTATAGCAACATTATATTGCAAAATATAATTATAATATTTTTATTAGTACATGTTTGTGCTTGTAGTTACACTAATCGCCGGGAGCTGGCGCACACGCTGAATGAACCTTGACCATTTTTACTCCCCATCCCCCTCTCCTGCCTTCCTGCCCCAGCCCATTCTCATCTCCACAAAATCTGCCTCCTTGTTTCCTAGGATTTCTTTTATTTTGCTCTTTATTTGTATCGTGGGTTTCTCATATTAAAGAAACCATGTGATATATAATCCTGCGACTGATTTACTTCACTTAGTAGTAAGGTCTCAAGATCCACCCACTGTCCTACAAATGCCTCAATAAACCACGTATAAACATGCAAATGTGTATTTCCAGGCCCATAGGTCCCCGCCCCGCCCATCTGTAATACTTCCCAAAGCAGATACCCACGTGCCTCCAGAGAAACAAATGTCCAGGGCTGCTGTCGGTGCCTATCACTGACTCAGCTCAAAGCCGGGTCCCTTGCCCAGCAATCTGCTTTCCCAGGAGACCGCGGCTGTCGGCGGATTCCCAGGTGATCTCAGACCCAGCCCGCTCCCCGTTGCCCTGGGAGTTCGGCGCTCGGGGTACAACCTGTTCCTCGCTCGGCGGGGCGCCCTCCTTTCAGCGCTCCTGTTGGACCACAGCCCCGGGCCTCTTCCCTCCGGTCCCAGGCGCCGGCCGGAGGGGGCGCGGGAGGAGGAGGAGACCAGGCAAGGCGGGCGAGGCCTCGGGGAGAGGGGCCGAGGGTGGCGTCTGCGGGA